AGGATCACCACCGCGCCAGTTGCCAGAACCTCGGCGGGCACCAACCGAGGTTGGACCTGATGAGTCTATTGCCGGGTCAGAGGCAATGCAGCTGGGACGGGCTCGACTCGCTCCGGCTGAAAGGCTGCACCGCCTGCAGGGGAACCAATGCATGTACTGCGGTCAAAGCGGTCATTATATGAACGCTTGTCCGGTAAAAGACAGGGCTCACCAATCAACCAGAGGGCGCTGGTGAGCCGGAAGGTGAATTTAAAAATGCCTACTCGCCCCCGAATCCATGCCCAGTTGTTTTTCCAGGATAAGAGCTACACTGTTCCTGTTCAGATTGACTCTGGCGCAGATGCCAATCTCCTTGACCGGGACCTGGCCGTCAAGATGAAGATTGAGCAAGTAGCTTTGGAAAGACCATCCGGGCCACGGCGTTGGACGGTCGGCTACTCTGCAGGGTTACGCATCAAACCACCCCTCTGCGCTTGGAGATGTCAGGTAACCACAGTGAAGCACTCACCTTTCATGTACTTCATGCACCTCAACAACCAGTTATTTTGGGATTCCCATGGCTTAGGACGCATTATCCGCATATTGACAGGGCTACTGGGACAATATTTGGGTGGAGTTCTCACTGTCACGTGGTTTGTTTAAAGCCTGCATCTGCCATTAGCCACTCCGTGTCTCCTGAGTCCCCAGATCTCACTGACGTACCTCGACGGATTACCACGACGTGAGGGAGGTGTTCAACAAGGCTCGGGCCACCTCACTACCACCTCACCGCCTGTACGATTGTGCTATAGACCTCCTTCCGGGCACCTCGCCCCCAAGAGGGCAACTATTCTCTCTGTCGGCCCCTGCGACTAGGACTATGGAGCGACTACTTGGCGACTCCTTGGTTTCCGGCCTCATTAGACTCTTCCCGCCTGGCTTGTCACCCAGGGGTGATGCGCACGATAGCTCTGCTTAAACAATGGTTTTGGTGGCCGACTGTGGAGAAGGAGGCAAGAGAATTCGTCGGTGCCTGCATGATCTGCGCTCAGCATAAGGGCTCTCGCAAGGCTCCATTCGGCCTCCTCCATCCCCTGCCCATCCCTCATCGTCCCTGGTCCCACATTGCTTTGGATTTTGTAACCGGTCTACCCCCATCTGACGGTAACACAGTTATTCTAACGGTAATTGATTGCTTCTCCAAGTCTGCTCAACTCATTCCACTACCTACACTGCCTTCTGCTAAAGAGACAGCAGAATTACTATTACAGAGAGTGTTCCGCCTGCATGGTCTGCCCGTCGATGTGGTCTCCGATGGGGGCCACAATTCACTTCTCATTTTTGGTCTGAGTTTTGCAGGCTACTGGGGGCCACAGTCAGTTTATCGTCTGGATTTCACCCACAGTCCAACGGTCAGGCGGAGCGGATGAACCAGGAGATGGAGACTTCTCTACGCTGCATCTCTTCCTGCAACCCCCGCTCTCGGTCCCAGCAACTCCTACAACTCCTATGGGTCGAGTATGCCCACAACACACTCCCCAGTTCTGCTACCGGGCTCTCACCTTTCCAATGTTCAAGAGGATACCAACCTCCGCTGTTTCCGGAGCAGGAACTGGAGGCAAGCGTTTTTGTCCAGGCATTCAGCGGACACCTGGAGGCAGGCCCGCTCCACGCTCCTGCGTACCTCGGACCGGAAAGCTGAAACCTGTCCTGGAGAGTCCACTTCAACCCTCCCCCAGACCCCCTTCTCCCCCCAGCTCATTGACGGGGGCCCAACTTACACGGTCCGGCGACGGGGCAGGGGGCTGCAGTATCAGGTGGACTGGGAGGGGTACGGCCCAGAGGAGCGCTTGTGGGTCCCGTCGCGCCACATACTAGACCCTTCCCTGATCTGGGACTTTCACAAAGCACACCCGGACCAGCCCAGGGGGACGTCGAGAGCCGTCCCTAGAGGGGGGAGTACTGCATGTTCACTAACTCTCCTGTCATTTCAGATCCTCCCACCTCGTCACCTGATTTCCTGCACCTGGTTCTCCTCACCCTCACCTGTGGTACCTCCCCTCGTCAGTCACTCACTATTTAAGCCTGTCACATTCTGTTGCTCACTGCCAGATTGTCTTGTGTGCTTAACCAAGTTTTCCAGCGTGTCCCTAGTAGTCCTGTCTTCCTCGATCCTGACCGTGTCTGTTCCTTGACCCCGATTTACCTGCCTGCCCCGTTTCGGATTTATCTGCCTGTCTGTTTGCCATCCTGGTCCTGACCCTGCCTGTCCTCGTCTTCGGATTACCTGCCTGCACCTCTGGGATTGTTTGCCTCCCGACGGATCTCCCGGTTTTGGACCCAGCCTGAACTTAAAACCCCTCTGTCTTGTCCATCATGTCCGAGTCGTGCGTTTGGGTTCTCCTGTACTCCGGTACCAGTAACCGTGACACTGGTATGCTGCAGCCACAGCCAAGGACAAGGGCAGGCTGCAGCGTGTCATCCACTCTGCAGGGAGGGTGATCGGCTGCAATCTGCCGTCCCTGCAGGACTTGTTCGCTTCCAGGAGCTAAAAAGATCGTAGCCGACCCCTCTCACCCCGGACAAAACCTGTTTGTTCCCCTTCCATCTGGCAGGAGGCTGAGGTCCATCAAGACTAAGACCTCCCACCACACCAACAGTTTCTTTCCGTCGGCAGTCGGGCTCTGTTCCCCAGTGGTCCCCCACTGACTGACTATGACATTCCACCGGTCACTCTCCTGCATACTGCACATTTCACTTTTCACTCATCACTTGATAGTGCACTTTATTTTAATATTTTAAATTTTTAACTTTATTCTCTTATTTTAGACTAAACCATAGCCTTATTCTACTTACCCATTGCATTAGCATTTTATTTTATTACTTGCGCACTGCTGTCTTGTTGTCTATTGTCTGTTTTGTGTCTACTGTCACGCACCAACCGCCAAGACAAATTCCTTGTATGTTTGACATATTTTGGCAATAAATGTTTCCTGATTCCTGATCCTGGAGAGATCTGAAAATGGCTGTGCACCGACGCTCCCCATCCAACCTGATGGAACTTGAGAGGTTCTGCAAACAAGAATGGGAGAAACTGCCCAGAAATAGGTGTGCCACACTTGTGGAATCATACCATGTAATTGCTGCCAAAGGTGCTTCAACAAAGTATTGAGCCAAGGCTGTGAATACTTATGTACATGTTTCGTTTTCGTTCTTTATTTTTAACAGATTTGCAAAAATTTGCAAAAAAAACGTTTGTGTTGAATGTGTAGAATGTTGAGGAAAATGATGAATTTAATCCATTTTGGAACAAGGCTGTAACATAACAATGTGGAAAAAGTGAAGCGCTGTGAATACTTTCCGGATGCACTGTATGTATTATTTAGTAAAAAAAGAATTTCACTAAACTGCCTTTACAGCAGCAACTCAATCAGAATTCAATCAGACTGCACACCAACACCAAAACTAGAGCTCCATACTGAGAGGAAGAAAAGTTATAGGACTTTCAATGAGGAGAATTAATGTTAGGTCCGCAGTGGGTGGCTCGCATAGAGCTTACAAGCTTAATGGCTTCTGATTGAGTGTGTGAATGAATTTGCATCTTTCCAATATCAAATGTGTGCTGTGCTTTAAGTAGCTGGTTGTGCTTTTGGGAGAGTGGTTGGATAAATTAATGGGATGTTTAAGATGACTGTGTGTGTGTGTGTGTGTGTCTGTGAGTGACTGAGAGAGGGAGAGTGTTGGCGCTCAAAGTGTCGGTTAGATAACAAGCGTGTGTAAGTCCTGGTAAAATGATGCTGGGCGCTGTATTAATTCACCCGACGACAGGAAATAGCAACTTATGATTTTCTGCCTCCACCCCGTAAAACATATACAGCTTGGAGGTTGCGTCTCACTTGGCTTCCTCTGAAATTTTCCCCACGCCACTGCCCACAGCTGAGGTTCACCTAACTGTGGGTGGTCAAACTACCCTCATGACTGTAGCATTAGCACCCAAACTACCCTTTGCTGTTATTCTTGGCCACCAGAAGCAACTGTATGCAACATCGTCACAACTAGGCCACAGAAAGGTAGAAATATTATGGAGGAGTTACCTTTTAATGATTCTGAGTTGGAGGTGGAACCAATTAAGTAGCCTAAATCCAGAGCCCAGAGAAAACAGGATTAGGTTTTGGCTACTGCCAGGAAGCAGTCTGAAGAAGTAACAAAGCCAAGCCAGCCTTTAGAGTTTTAAGCACTGAAAGCTTGGTTTGGTAACATCTCAGAGGTTGAGGGTGAGCCAGAGAGCCGGCCAGACTGTTTAGCCGAGGCTGCCTAGGTAATTTAAAAAGCATCCTTTATCAGCCGCAGGGGAAGAAGAAAGCCTGAGTTTTGCCACAGTGGCAGCCATGGAGCTTGATCATTCAATCTCCTGGGCATGCCACCTAGCGTTTCAAAAGTCCCTTAAAAGGATTCCAAGGAGATTTGTTTGACTAGGCTTGTATTTTTCAGATCCAGAATTAGTTTACTTATTGTGTTTACTTCATGTGTTGAATGTCAGTTAACATCACAAAGGGGAGTTTCTAGAGCTAAACTTCAGCCTGTACCTATTATTGCTACCCCATTTGAAATAAAAGGAATGGATATTGTAGGACCCCTGGAGAAAACAAAATGAGATTGAAGGCTTTCTCGAGGACACCTACTTCTTCAGATGGTGTTCTCAACAGCTGCATTCACTGCAGCCACAGTCATGTGCATGTGTTTACACAGAGCCCTCATTGAAAATGTTGGCAACAGGAAAATAATAATACAAAAATATATTTTTTCTTAAAATGAAGCTACAAGGCTTTGCTGGTTTGAAATCTTGATCATTGTAAATATAACATGTCAAATGTATGTATATGTATTACATGCATGTTATATATGTATACAGTATACTATACATATGGATAGTTTGATGGAAAGCACAAGTATACTGTATATAATAAGCTGATTATCAAAATAATTTCCATTTTCAAGCAGGAACATGTCCTTTAACATACCTTGTAGCTGTTCAATAAGAGTCCAGGCCATCCTCGACCCTTGAGCGTCAAAAACAACATGGCCCTGAAAGAAAACAGCAGAATTTAAATGTTTTAACACCGCCCTCCATTAGAGTGCTGGCCCTACCCACAACCTTTCTCTCTCATATTACTATCCAGCACTCTCAACCCTTTCTCACTTTCTGAAACTCCTCCCTCTTTTGTACTTACTGAGATTCCTTCAAAGGAGCTGGTGTTCAGGGCTCGGTAGATCTCCGCTGTGATATCTTTGTTGTTGTAGTTGAAATCTTCTAGTTGGTATCCTTTGGCCTTCAGGGGTCCCACGGTCTTGTTGAGGGCCAGGGCTAGAGCCCACACAGCATCGTAAGCCAGGGGTGCCTCTTGGAAACCACCTGTCTCCTCTGGATTTTTACCCCCGAGTTTAGACATTAGCTGCGCTATAAATTCCTGAGATGTCTGGAGAGAATAGAAGATTCCAAGAAATAGAGCTTGGTTACATGTGAACAATGATCCTGCCATTTATCAGCTGGTCTGATTGTGTTGATTGCAGTGCTGAGTGATTAATAATAGTAATCATTGCAGTGGTCTTGTTTTCCTTTTGGACACTTGCAGTTAACAGGTATGGAAGGTTTGCATGTGATGCTGTTTGAGAATACATTCAGTCCAGTTACCAGCCCCCGCCCCCTTTTCCCATGCACACACACACGCAGTAAGACTCTCAAGTAAAATGGGCAACAAAGAATACTGCAGGTCAGGAGCTTCTGCCAGATACCAACATGTGCTTTTGATTGACAACTGATGTATTGCATCTTCACTTTTTGTGTTTGTATTATTTAGTTATAATTTCATTTCAAGTGTTTTTAAAATGAGAGCCAGTCTCCAGCTGTTGGGTCATCGTGGACTCTTTTTTGGGTTGGTCATTCACAAACTATTGCTACCTCAGAAGAGGCCATCTGTCTGTTTGCACTAGTAAATTAATAATGCAGCAAGAAATTTCTCTTTTGAGTTTTGGGCTGAATACGACAAAGGTTCCTTTTCCTGAGTTCATTAAAACAGACTTTACCTTCCCTTGCATTTGGGTCCTCTCTCCTTCACACCCACAACGGAATGGTCGGGCCAGCATGGACCCAGCAAAGGAAAACCATTTCCAGTCTGCCCTCCAGCTACAGGGAACTATGCTGGGCCGTCATGAGGGTGAGCTTGCCGCCGCTCGTCATGCTGTTGAATCTCTCGCGGCTCAGCTGACCAACTTGTCTCAGCAGTTTCTTCACCTTGGTACTGAACCTCCCTCGGCCCGGAACTTCCACGCTCCAGAACACAGAGTGAAGAGTCCTCCATGCTATGCGGTTGAGCATCATTTTTAACGCAATGCGAGATTTTTTTTTCACTTCAGCCCTCGAGGTACGCTAATGACTTCTAGCCGCATCGCCTTCGTGGGGCTCTCTTCTCACTGGCCAGGTACCGGAGTGGGGAACTGCTGTCTGGAGTTCAGACAGCGACTACCTCAGCCGTTATGTATATAAGAGATGTTGCGAGTCTTCGACTGCTCCGCGCACGGAGCTGGAGCCTCACGACTCCTGTCCACTCTTCGTCAGGGAAGGAGATCTACCGTCGACTTCTCCATTGAATTTCACACTTTAGCGACTTAATGTGACTGGAACGAACCCGCTCTGGTGGCACGATTTCTCAAGGGACTGAATGCGGAGATCAAGGATGAGGTCTTAGCCCGCGAGATTCCTTGTCGCCTTGACCCTCTCATTGACATGGCGAACTGCGTCGAGAAGCGTTTCGAATTACGCCGCTGAGCCCGCAACCTGGAGAGGTCACTTCTCTCTGCGCCTTCCTCTTCGCCACCCTCCGCCTGCTTTGATTTGGAGCCCATCCAGCTAGGAGGGTTACGGATCTCAGCTGCGGAACGCCAACGCCGCATTACTGGACGCCTTTGTATGTACTGTGGGTCAGCTTCCCATTTCTTCTCAGCCTGCCCGGTACGAACCCAGAGCTCACCAGTAGAGAGATGGTTACTGCCTTAGACCCACCGCCACACACCCGCACAATCTTTCCCGTCCATCTACGCTTGCCGGGCTCTGCCATCTCCTGCCTGGCTTTGACTGACTCTGAGGGGCTGAGGGAGGTTTTGTGGATGAGGCCTGGGCTTGTGAACAGGGTATCCCTCTCGTTGATCTTAGATAATCTACCCCTGTCTATGCTCTCGACAGACAGCAGTGTCCTTGCCAGGGTACACGTGCCACGGCCCCGGTGAGTCTCACCGTCTCTGGCAACCATCGAGAGACAATTTCCTTTTTTATTTTTTATTCTCCCTCCACACCCCTGTTGTATTAGGCCATCCCTGTTTAGTTAAACATATCTCCCAGATAGATTGGTCCAGCGGTTCCATCCTTTCTTGGAATTTGTCTTGTCATGTGAAATGTTTAATGTCGGCCATTTCCCCTGTGTCTTCTGTCTCTGTGTTTCATGAGGAGCCGGCGATTTGTCCGGAGTTCAGGAGGAGTACCATGATCTGCGGACGGTTTTCAGTTGTTCCCGGGCCACTTCTCTCCCTCATCGACCATATGACTGTAGTGTTGATCTCCTTCCAGGCACCACTACTCCCTGTCTGCACCTGAACGCGAGACTCTTGACAAGTATCTGGCTCTTTAGACGCTGGTACCATAGTTCCCTCCTCCTCCTCTCTTGCTGGTGCTGGTTTCTTTTTTGTTGAAAAGAAGGATGGTTCCTTACACCCCTGTATCGATTACCGAGGTCTAAATGACGTCAAAGTCAAGAACTGCACGAGTGGAAAACTGCATTCAATACCCCCTTAGGGCACTTTGAATACCACGTCCTTCCGTTCGGTTTGCTCAACGCCCCCGCTGTTTTTCAGGGTTTAATTAACGACGTCTTCAGAGACATGTTAAATATGTTTTTTTCGTTTATCTCGATGACATTTTCTCTCCTTCTCTCGAGGTTCCCGCTGAGCACATTCGTTGGGTCCTCCAGCGCCTTCTCGAGAACAGTCTGTTAAGGCTGAGAAGTGTACTTTTCATGCCCCGTCCGTCACGTTACTTTGCTCTGTAATCTCCGCTGAGGGTATTAGGATGGACCCCACCAAGGTACGTGCCGTCACGGAATGGCCGTTCTCGATTTGTGCGTCGCCCTTCAACGTTTCCTTGGGTTCGGCAATTTTTATCGTCGGTTTATCCGTAATTTTAGTCGCCGCCCCTCTCTCTGCTCTGACGTCGACCAAGGGACATTTCTCGTGGTCTGAGACAGCTCAAGATGCCTTTGATCACCTTAAGGCCTCTGTCACGGTGTGGTTCACTTCATGTTATATTTTGTAGTTTTCTGCCACTCGTGTCCCCGGGTAACTTCACTTCCTGCCTTGTCCCGTCATCCCCTGTGATCGTCTTAATAGTTTCCACCTGTGTCCAATCACCTGCACCTCCCTTGTGTATTTAAGCCGTGTGTCTCTTGTGTCACTTGTCGCGTCATTGTCTCTTGTTGTGGATGTGCTTAGTTTCCTGCCTGCTGTTCTTCCCTTGGTTCCTGTGTTTTTTGGCCTTTGGACTATTAAAGTCCTTTTTGTTTCCCGCAAAGTCTGCGTTTGAGTCCTGCCTCCCACCCGCATCCTTGACAGAATGACGCGACCAAAGAAGGGCTCAGCAGACCCAATGCCAGATTACGGACCAGATTACCTGGACGTAAGAAGTCCCTTCTGGCAGCGGAAAACAAATTTCATCTTCGGTCCCAGGGGCTATCAGCTCGCCTGCCTCGAGCTCCGGGATCTGCTAAATCCTAAGAGGAGCCCTGGCCAGAGGAATAACAGACTTCCCGCAGGGCCGCCGAAGCGATCTCCCGCTCCCGCTGGGCCGCCGCAGCGATCTCCCGCTCCCGCTGGGCCGCCGCAGCGATCTCCCGTTCCCGCTGGGCCGCCGCAGCGATCTCCCGTTCCCGCTGGGCCGCCGCAGCGATCTCCCGTTCCGAGACTCTCAGTCCCGACCCCGACTCGGCCAGTCCCCGTTCCGAGACTCATGGCCCCGACTCGGCCAGTCCCCGCTCCGAGACTCATGGCCCCGACGCCCCCAGTCCCCGCTCCGAGACTCATGGCCCCGACGCCCCCAGTCCCCGCTCCGAGACTCATGGTCCCCGACGCCCTAGTCCCCGCTCCGAGACTCAGACTCCCTCCCTCCCATCCCATGGTCCTCTCCCACCCTCCCGTTGGTGATTTAAGGGGCCGTCTGGGATCCGGCCCTTGAGGGGGGGGCTATGGGGTGGGTTTTGGGGGGGGCTGAGCCGCCGACTGCGGAGGTGTTCCGTGTCCCCGAGCTGTAGCCGACTACGGAGGTGTTCCGTGTCCCCGAGCTGGAGCCGCCGCCGACTGCGGAGGTGTTCAGTGTCCCCGAGCCGACGACTACGGAGGTGTTCCGTGTCCCCGAGCTGGAGCCGCCGCCGACTGCGGAGGTGTTCAGTGTCCCCGAGCCGACCACTGCGGCGGTGTTCCGTGTCCCCGAGCCGCCGCCGACAACTGCGGAGGTGTTCTGTGTCCCCGAGCCGCCGCCGACCACTGCGGAGGTGTTCCGTGTCCCCGAGCCGACGACGACTGCGGAGGTGTTCCGTGTCCCCGAGCCGGAGCCGACTACTGCGGACGCGTTCCGTGTCCCCTTGCTGGAGCCGCCGCCGACTACTACGGAGGTGTTCCGTGTCCCCGAGCTGGAGCCTCCGCCGACTGCGGAGGTGTTCAGTGTCCCCGAGCCGACCACTGCGGCGGTGTTCCGTGTCCCCGAGCCGAAGACGACTGCGGAGGTGGTCCGTGTCCCCGAGCCGCCGCCGACGACTGCGGAGGTGTTCCGTGTCCCCGAGCCGCCGCCGACGACTGCGGAGGTGTTCCGTGTCCCCGAGCCGACGACTGCGGAGGTGTTCCGTGTCCCCGAGCCGACGACTGCGGAGGTGTTCCGTGTCCCCGAGCCGACGACTGCGGAGGTGTTCCGTGTCCCCGAGCCGACGACGACTGCGGAGGTGTTCTGTGTCCCCGAGCCGACGACGACTGCGGAGGTGTTCCGTGTCCCCGAGCCGGAGCCGACTACTGCGGACGCGTTCCGTGTCCCCTTGCTGGAGCCGCCGCCGACTACTACGGAGGTGTTCCGTGTCCCCGAGCTGGAGCCGCCGCCGACTGCGGAGGTGTTCAGTGTCCCCGAGCCGACCACTGTGGCAGTGTTCCGTGTCCCCGAGCCGAAGACGACTGCGGAGGTGTTCAGTGTCCCCGAGCCGACCACTGCGGCGGTGTTCCGTGTCCCCGAGCCGCCGCCGACAACTGCGGAGGTGTTCCGTGTCCCCGAGCCGCCGCCGACAACTGCGGAGGTGTTCCGTGTCCCCGAGCCGAGCATTCACACACTGTAGTCGCAGCTACAGGAGCAATGTTGGGTTAAGTGTCTTGCCCAAGGACACAACGACATGCACGTTAACAGAGCCTGGGATCGAACCGACAACCCTCTGATTGGAGGACGACAGTGCACCCCACTCACCCACTTACCCACAGACGCCTTGAGACTTTTTGTTTGTGAAATCGCCTTGTGGCTACCTGAGTTCCATTTTTGCCTTGGCCATCCATGCCTCATTCATTAAAACAGACTTACCTTCCCTTGCGTTTGGATCCTCTCTCCTTCACACCCACAACAGTAATTTCCATAATTTATTATGGCAAAAAACTTGAAGTTGCAGTGACCTCTACCTTGAGCATCACAACAACGTTTTATTCAGTCTACCCTTGAGTAGTGTTTCCGGTTTGAATAAATTCCTAATTGTCAGGGGTGCGGGGAAGGCAGGACACACACGCAGACTTTGAGCAATTAAAAAAGACTTTTGTAGTCCAAATGGTCCAAAGCAAAAGGCCAAGGGGCAAAAACGCACACAGGAACCAGGGGAAAAAAGGCAGGCAGGAACAAGGAACATCCGGGACAGTAGACAATGACGCGACAAGAGACACACACGGCTTAAATACACTAGGTAGGTGCAGGCGGGCAGCCGGGGAGCTTCCGGGGTCGGCCCGGCGGACGGTCAGCAGCCGACTGCAGGGCACTGAACATGTCCGGAATGGCCGGCTGGGAGACACGGAACACCTCCGGAGTAGCCGGCTCAGCCCCCCCCATAACCACCCCTCAAGGGCAGGATCCCAGACGGCCCTCAAATCACCAACGGGAGGGTGGGAGAGGACCACGGGATGGGAGGGAGGGAGCCTGCGCCTGAGTCGGGGACTGGAGGCGTCGGGGTCATGAGTCTCGGGGGCCGGTACTGGCGGGGTCGGGGCCTGGAGTCTCGGGGCCGGTACTGGCGGGTTCGGGGGAGCGGGGCGGGGAACCGGAACGGGAGGTTGCTGCGACCCAGCGGGAACGGGAGAACACTGTTTCCGCCTGCCAGGACTCCTCCTCCTGGGGTTTAAGAGGTCCCGGAGCTCGAGACAAGCCCTCTGATAGCTCCTGGGCCCGAAAATAAAGTTGGTTTTACTTTGCCAGAAGGGACTTCTTACGTCCAGGTAGTCATGTCCATAATCTGGCAGCGGGTCTGCAGAGTCCTTCTTTGGTCGCGTCATTCTATCAGGGGTGCGGGGAAGTCAGGACTCCCACGCAGACGTTGAGCAACAAAAGAAAACTTTAATAGTCCAAATGGTCCAAAGCAAAAGGCCAAGGGGCAAAAACGCACACAGGAACCAGGGGGAAAAAGGCAGGCAGGAACTAGGAACATCCGGGACAGTAGACAATGGGACAAGAGACACACTGCTTAAATACAGTAGGGAGGTGCCGGTGATTGGACACAGGTGGAAACAATTAGACAATCACAGGGGATGACAGGACAAGGCAGGAAGTGAAGTTAGCCAGGGAGACAAGAAGCAGAAACTACAAAATAAGACAGGAAATAAACCACACCGTGACAAGAATAGGATGGAGGGACAACTCAAATGTATTGCCTCCGGCTTAATTGTTGCATTTAGAAACAGAGTTACTGTACCTATTACCAGAAACGTCAAAGGGTTTTACACAAAGTTTTTTTTTTTTTGATGATCTATGACTTACTGATACCTACTGTGATTAAATCACATGCTGATTCACCTACACACAAATTCGCATTCATAACGATCCACAGAGTGTTGTAGATATAAGGCCTTCAGGATAGAAGCGACATGGAGTAATGATGATGTTATAGGAATTGAATGTATTACACATTTTTTACATTGTTCATTCTTTACACATGATATCCATTATGGTCTGTCCATCCCAGGAGTGGGATCCCTCCTCTTTAATTTTTTGGGGAGTTTTTCCTGTGCCGATGTGAGGGTTTCGGGACAGAGGATGTCGCATGTGCACAATTTGTGATTTTGGGTTATACAAAATGAAATTAGTTGAATGGTGTGTTCACACCAGAATTGTATTCCCTCTTGTTACTTACAAGAGTTTGACTCAAAGACAATTTTTGTTTATTACCGTTGTTCGCCTTAGACGCTCTGGAAACAAGGACCCCTCGATGTAAACTAACCACGGTTGCAGCTCCTTATGTTGTGGAAGTCACAAATACATTGTTAAAAGAAAACGCCTCTGTGTCTTGGATCATAGCATCATTCCAAAGCAATCTCACAGAGCAGTATTGTTTATTACAGATGTGTGAACACAAATAAGCAGTGATTTGATTGGAATTAATGGATAAAAAGAATGCTGGAGTAACCAATCATGATTCCAAATGAATAATTTAATTCTTGTTTGTCGGATCTGTCCACAGTTGACATGCAATCAACTATTAAAATAGCATTGCTGGCCACAAATGTTCAGCATTTATGATTTCTAGTCGCCAATGCCTGCTAATTTTACATTCTAATAATACTAATAATGACCCAAGACAATTAAATTCTTGGCTTAAGGTTTTGGTGGTGCTGACCCCATTTTTCTTCATGTGGAACGTCATGTGAAATAACACATTTTTTACAGTTTGGAAAGAAATTCAGGAGAGGCTGTCTTTAACCTTATACTGACCAGAGTCAGCCCGGAAAGAAAAGATTCAGAAGAGGCTGTCTAACCTTGCACTGACCAGAGTCAGCCCAGAATTAAAGTTTGAGCGGGGGAACTCGCACGTCACATCAGGGGGACCCCTGTGGTGTCTGTGGCTTGGTCAATCAGATCTCAGGGCTGTTTCACCCACAGAGAGAGATCACGCCTAAGGTGTGAGGGCACATTCCTTTTGGGGGTTTTATGCAGAGCACTGCATTCGAAAGTCAACCTTGGTTTTACGCTATGGTGACTGCCCAACACTACCAAGTGAGCTCCATATTCTGTTATACAGTAGCTACTTCAAATGCATCATTTACCTCAGTGATCAACCAATCAGACCAGAGAGAGTGATTTGCTCTGTTCCGACGCAGAGCTAGAAGATGAAAAGGTAAGGCCGCAACCGTTTTTTTCCTAGGATGCTTTCTGTCCCTCACAAAGCCAGTATCAACTCGCCCATTGTGTATCTTAAGTGCCCTCCTGGTAACTCAAACAGAACCAGGGCCAGCAGATAATGACATCTGGCTCTAAAATCTACCTTTGGTGTTTGAGTGTTTCATATATAGTATTAGAATAACATTTGTAATGGACTCTGGTGAATATTTTACATAGTAAGGGTTGAGAAATCCCAGAAAAACACACATCTAATAGTAGGTCTATCCCTATTGAAGAACTACACTCGACTGAAAATCAACAGAAGTATACACAGATCTGTCTTTTTTTTAAGAAGTACACAGTTCTTTTATTTTTAAAGTGCATGGCGCATCCATCCTAAATTCCCTGTTGAGTCTGCAGCAACACATGATTCTTTTCCGCACCACTTCTACATTATATAATATTGTGTGTCTTACCAGGTTGGAGGCTCCTCGCACAGTCTCTGGGTTGAGCATTACAATCTCAGTGGTTACGTGCCCCTCCACTGCCTCTGTCATCTGCTCAGTAGTACAGTTAATAGAGGGGTCCTTGATCTTGAACCAGTTGTCTGCATACCAGCCAATTAGGAACCATACATACTTCTTTCCATATAACTTCTCCTTGTACACCTGCAGAGGGACAATTCAGCAATGAGATCACGGAGGAGAATGTTACAAATGAACGGCCAGTGAAAGAGCTGTGGAACAAAGTACTACAGAGTGAGTCCTATAATACTAACATAAAGAAACTTAGAAAAATTGTTTTGGTTATGTATTTGCTGCGCAGATAATTCAATCGTCACACGATGTGCAGTGCATTCTGAGGGCCAAGACCAAGAAAGGGTGCAGGATCTCCGCAGGCAAACAAAAAGTTAAATATTTAATCAATTCTGAACATGGGTAGGTAATATTAAATTAATTGTTGCCAACTCTTTTCAAAGGAAATGAGCTACATCACACTGAATCTTATTTAAATTTTTCCCAACACAGCACTACATCTGAAATCTTGCAAGACCAGTCAGAAACATGGTCTAGTCCCTCTTATCATATTATCATGTTTGATTACAGATGAACAGGAGAACACATTACCTCACAGAAGACTTTCCTGGCCTCCGTCTCATAGAACAGACCAACAATTATCCTGGCATCTTGGCGCTTAGAATTGAAAAAGACAGACACACACCGGATGGAGATAGAAACACAAGTTAAAAGCTCTGTAGTGAGGCTAACTAACCCAGGAGGCCCACCTTCTTCACAATATACAAGTAGATTTCCCCTTGACTTAAATTCATTCATGCTCTAACCCTGTTTTCTGGCCAAATAATCTTGCCCACGTGAAATAAGATGGCATGCTGTGGAAGGTCATTGCAAAGTGTATGTGTGCCAGGAAGGATATTAGGGAAGCTGACAGTGGTGAAGGAAGCAGGGTGGAAGAAAGGGCACAAAGCTAAGCTAGAAGTTCAGTAACCCTCTCCCCATTAAAACCATTGTACATACAAAAGCAGCTAAAACAAAAGGCCGATCCCAGATCAGACATATATTTAAAATGAAGATTCAAATCCAAACACTCTCAGGCAACATCTTTATCTAGAGCTGCTCAATCCCTTGCGTTGATGCGTGCAGCTGAAAAATTGTGACAGATTTTTCCCTTTCGTGTGGAATTGCCGGGACGGAGTTAGCCAATCATACTATACTATACTGTACTGAAACAAATTGTAGATGTAACCCTCTAAGAAATGGTAAAATACATTGCCTGCTAGCCATAAATATCCGGCTCAGGGAAAGGTCAATTCCTGTTATTAGTTGCAGCTATTTATGACTCTAGCCTTTTAATAAACCTTAAATCTGAAGTGGATTATAACACATTTTTCAAGCCTGGTTCATACAGCCGGTTATTTTTGTTGTAGTGTACAGGGCCCCAGGTCCTTATTCAGAATTTCGATCTGAAATTTCAGAATTCTTAAAAGGTTTGGTCCTAAAAAAGTAATTATTGTGGGTGATTTCAATATTCACGTGGATGTTGAAAACGACAGACTTGGTACTGCCAAGGGTTTCTACAGTCAAAGCTTCTCTTTGTCTAAAGAGGTGATTTGGTACTAAAATGTCCACCATTGCTCCAGAAATGGATCAAACCCATCCATCCATCGTCAAACCGCTTATCCTGCACACAGGGTTGTGGGGGGGCTAGAGTCTTATCTACACAGAGACATACAACCATTCACACTCACATTCACACACCTATGGAAAATTTAGATTCCCCAATCTGATCCCCAGAGCATGTCTTTGGACTGTGGGAGGAAGTCGGTGTACCCGGAGAGAACCCACGCAGACACAGGGAGAACATCCAGACTCCACACAGAAAGGCCACTGGGCGGAGTCAAACCCAGGACCTTCTTGCTGTGAGGCGACAGTGATAACCACCACACCACCGTGCCGCCCTGGATCAAACCCAATAGTTCTAAATAATATCATCATGAAAAAAAACATAATATAATAATTCTACATATTTCTGGAAACTTAAGAGCCTGGGCTGTCAAACATCAAACAACTCAAGCAATAAATAAATGTATGAAAAAATTCTTACATTTTCCTTGAATAAAAAAAAACTGTTTCATTTTGTAGTTTCCTGCCTCTTGTGTCCCTGGTTTAGCTTCACTTCCGGTCACCATTTGTGATTGTCTGCCGTGTCCCTAATTGTTGTCCACCTGTGTCCAAACACCTGCAACTTCCCAGTGTATTTATGCAATGTGTGTCTCTTGTTTTGTCGTCGAATACCTTTCCAGAAGAGTCTGTCTATATGTATTTTGTTTTGAACCCCGATTTGCCCCTAGGCATAGTTGATTTCTTGTTGAAATAAAGTACTTCGATAGTTACACTCTGCATTTGAGTCCTGCTTCCGCCTACCGGTTGTAACAAAATCACTACAAACTGCACCTTTCATCCACCATCAATATAAGCAACATGCTAGCCAAAAGAGAATGACACACATATGACAGTTCTATTTCATCCTTACTGACCTCCAGAGGCAGTGCTTCACACTCGTGCATGCGCAGGTCAAGTCTTTATACCGACAAAGTCACCTGTGACCTCGGATGACCTCCTGTCGCGTATAAGTACCGCTGTCATTCTGAGATCATTTCTATTTTATCTTCTCGCTGGTAGCTACTCTGGTAGCTACGCTCTAATATTGAGACTTATCGCATTGCCTTGCGACTATCGAAGTTGCGGACCTCCCGCCCTCCAAAGGCTGTGACAAGTTGCCCCTCTATGAGGGAACGGCGTGCTTCGTCGTGGGTCTATCGAGGACCACCTGAAGCGTGAAGACGGTAATCGGTGAGATCGATTCAAATTATTTCTAACGCTGTTTGTTTTACGCAGGTGTTTGTCCGGTGGGACAACATCTCTGCTGTGTTGACGACAAAATATCGGGGGGATTTGCAGAACTGATTACGCTTATTTGGGCAGCCTTCGGGCAATAACCCAGCCAGGAGTGGCTATTGCATCCAGAGGTGATGCCGACCCACTGCCCCCACCGGTTCTCCCTGACAGAGAGGACCACTGCTCTGGGTCAAGATGCTCTGGCTCACACGTGACGCACTAACCGCCAAGACAAATTCCTTGTATGTTTAGCATATTTTGGCAAATAAATGTTTCCTGATTCCTAAGGATCCTCTTGTTGCAACCAAAGGGCTGGGTTTGGCATCCCAACCCCTGACGCCTTGAACTATGGACGTGGCCACAGACCCGACTGGGTGCTAGGTGGTTGCAAAAATCGGTCAAACCGACTTCTGAATCCTATGGCGCGATGTACCCGCCCGAGAGGCAAAAAATCAGATGGAAGCTGTTTTCTGAACGGTGTGCCGTTCTCAACAGGACCCGGTTTGCCTGCGTGCCTGCTGTTCCACAAGTCCTTCCTCTATAAGGGCCAGTCTCCCTCTACCATTGGATTATAGAAGGCTCAATTTTACTGAGGTCGACATCACAGACACAGACTAGTGTCCCTCTGTAAAATCCCGTCCTGCGAGTGGCCAAAAAGCCCCTGCAAGAGGGCCCAAGAAAGGCCTTTCGAACCTCCAACACAGGTGGAGCCGAGATGGCTATTGGCCAAAAGGGTTATTTCTCTCCTTGCCATCACAGCCGCTAAACCTATACGCGAGCTACATGCCCTGCTGGTGAGCAAATCATATCTGAGGGTACCTCAGATGGCTCTGGCATTACTCTGTGGCCTAAGGCAGCGTCTTTTCCGACGGTATAAACACGCTGACGCATCAACCAGCCTATTTAGCCTGCATAGTTGATCCCTCTCCCCCCAGCAGGAGAGCCGAGGTCAGGGCTACCATGCGGGCCCTCAGAGCTTGTGTAGAAGTTCTCGCTTGGATACAGCGGTTTGGAACAGTAGGTTATACTGGAACTGAGGGCTGTGCTGTCTCAAAGCAGCTCCCATCCTACTGGGTTTCAGAGGCCATTGCCTGGACATACAAATTGACCAACCAAGCTCAGCCATTGAGAATGGAGCGACACTCTACCAGGAGTGTCTCCACATCATGGGAAGTCCTGAGAGGTATGCCTATGACGGATATATATGTATGAGCTGCGGCCTTAAAGGCAGCACACTGACAAAACCCTACAGAGTGAACGTTGCCACCCTCTCACCCACTGGGGAGGGTTCTTTGCCTGAGCAATACGAGGTGGTCACTCTGATATAAGTCATCAAGTGTGAAGCACTGCCTCTTGCAGTCAGTAAAGATAAAATAGAACGAAAGTTACGTATGTAACTACGGTTTTATGAATCCTGGATGACCACCAGAGTTCTCAGTTATTCGGAATCTCGTGAACTTTATTTGGATGTATTGAACACCAATAGTAATATACAAGTGAAATACATATATTATAAATAGTACATAATAGTATAAATATATACTAAATAGAAATGTGGTAACATTTTGGCACCATTATTATCAATACGTACATATATAAATGGTGCAAAATGTGCCCAAATTTCTATTCAATACCACACATTGTCGAACATGTTGGTGAAGTTTGTGTTTGTGTCCCGTCTTACGTCTGATTTTCATACTTCCTGTTTTATTGTGGCGTCTAAACCCCCTCTCGTTTCAGGTGCCTTGCCCTTCCTCAGGTGTCTCCTGTCGATTGTCTCCCCTGATTCCTAATTGTCTCCACCTGTTCCATCACCTCCCTCATGGATACTTATTGTCTGCGTCTCCCTTTGTCCTGTGCCAGTGTGTCTTGTAGTTGTGCATGTCCACACCCGCGTTAGTGTTGTGTTTGTGAAAGGATCTTTTGTATTTGGTATTATTAGATATAGGAATTATTGGAATAAATCTCCAGCAGTCAAACCTCTCTGCGTCCTTGTCCTCCTCCCCGGCTCCGGCCTGACTGACACACATAGGCAAACCTCTCTCTCATTGGTCCAGTTTTATTGCAGTTATAAATACGCTGTTTCATTTTTCATTTTTTATTTTTACTTGTTGGGGATTGGGGTTGCATGAACCTAGTCGGGATGTAGAAGGGGGTGCGTGGCCTTAAGTTTGGGACCGCTGGCCTAGCTTTTGGCAGTAACTCAAAAGGATGAGATTAAGGAAACAAGCATCTGAAATTCGATCCCTTAGAAAAGAGTCTGAACTAAATCTAAGAGATGGGGTGAAGAGGTGAGACATTCAGAAGGGAGCTTGGATTAGAGCCACTGCTCCTTCACATGCTGAGATAGTAAGGGCATCTAGTAAGGGAGTATCCTGTGACCTCCAGATGTTGAGAGAATTTTCCACACTGTAAACCCGGATTTTGTTTCTAATTAAACTTACGAGTGATCATTACTTATTCTTTTATGTTTAGTAAAAACCTGCTATCATTACTAAACAACATTAGTTGTTAGTACTAATTAGCTGAAAAATTCATTGCACTAATCATTTTTAGCACAGATAACTCGGTATGTTTACTTTTGCAATAAAGGGGAGGGGCTAATTCAAAAAGCTGCCTGGTCACGTGACCAGACCAACGTCCAACGTGCGTCCAAGGGGCTCTTCACTTGGCGGGACGAGCACAGGCATCGGCAGCAGACGGAATCCAAGAAAGCAACCTTACCACCTCGAAGTGGAATGGTTAGTATGTAAAATAACTATTGTAGCCTAGTTATCTTTGTGGGAATGTTTAATACCCAAAAGCCTGCAGATAATTTGACGCAGCTTTTATTTCCGTCTAATGTTAATGTTTGAACCTGTGCATGGTGTTAATACATGCTTATTGCTAAAACTAGCTAGCTAGCTACTCAAAAAGTGTTAGCTGAACTTAAAGTTAACTTAGTCAACAGTTAACAGTCTGAGGACGGCTCACATACCGTTAGTTTGTTCGACTGTATCACTTATTCAACCGTCATTTTACGCAATAGAAAAACGATTCAACCGCTGTCGGGGCAAATTACATCCGCTGTGGAGGTGTTTAGCTACACCCGAGCTACTTGCAGCCATTGATTCACTGGTCGCTCTCTTTTCCCCTCTCACTCTCTACACACGCCTGCTAGAAACAGGACCGACGGCTATTTCACGCCACACGCAAGCATTGGAAGCGTTTCCAGGCTAAATTTTATATGAAAAGATATATTAGTATATTTCATTTTGACATGAATACAAATTAATAAATGGCATGTTGATGTTCGAAAGTCTCGAGTTTATGACATAAATGCAGATATACAAATGTAATTTAAAAAACAAAAAGATGATCGATTTTCAAATATTGCACCTGTACAGAATGCAATATACTGTAGTGTATTTACCGTCAATACTGCCGACGTTGTCTTTGCTGTAATCAAATCAGTATATATTGATGTGTAACATGAAGTATACTGCTTGAGTGCAGTAAATCAATGGGAAACATGCATGTGTCCAGACAAGGCTAGCAGCAGCAGCGCCGCGTCCGACACGTTTCTGGTGTGAAAAGACAGAAAAATCCACGCAACTGACATGCAACAGAAATGCCACGCCGGCAGTGTGTAACCGGCCTCACACACGCTTGTTTTCATGCCGGTTTTCTCTGTAACACAGGTGTTGTTTCGGTTTTATTACCTTATTGTATTTAACAGTGACATTGTTGTGCTGAGTTGTTGACCTAAACAGTTTCTTGTTTTACAGATTCTTGTGGTGTGAGGATGCTGTGGAAGTGTAAGTACTGTGAGTTTATCTGTGAGAAAAGGGGTTACCTTTTAAAACATTATCGGTTAAAACACGGAAACTATGGTAGAACTGTCCCATTTCCCTGCTTACACCAACAATGTGTGTGCATTTGATCAGGCAGCCCTGGAGGGTGCCTGTAAAGACTTGGTTGATGAAATGCAGAAGAGAACACCAAATGGACCTCTTGTGAAACAGAAGATGGATCAGACGTTTGCTCTGAGAAGAAAAGAGGTAGTGGAGTCGGAACCTGCCATAAGCACGATGGTGAGATGCTGGCCTGCCCTTTTCACTGAAGATCAAGTATGTTTAAGAAAGAGAACATAACAAATAATTATCTTTCTATTATATAATGTGTCTAGATGTATATTTCTCTTGTCCTCTTTAAAGGAAATATTGGTATTATTAATTTGGGGCATGATGTTTTTAATTTAAACATCAACATTTCAAATCGTATAAAAAGGACATTCATGGATGTTTTTCAGGACAGCACTACTTCGCAGATGGCTTAGCTGCCTTGTATAGTTCAGTTGATCTAAATTCAGATTTTTATTGTTCTCTGTATTTTTCAGGTCTTCATGGAGTTCAGCAGGATTGTGGGCAAGAACCTCAAGACGGAATTCTATGAGAGCATCGACCGGCACAGTCATCGTCTCCTCGAGTTATTTGGATCCAAGAGAGGGAATGTTGGATACACAGTTGTTGACATTTTACAACAGACCAATGTAAGTCCATACACATTATGTACTTGGCATTGTTTTTCTTGGGTTAGGTATAAACATCATATCACTATGCTACTCTATTAGTTGCATAATTCTATCCAAACATTGCTCGGCCTGTTTAAGATTTCTTAGAGATCATTATTTGTTTTTCATTTGAGCTATCTAACTTGTGGTACTGTGTTTAATTCCCAAAAGACTACAGAGCCAACTGAGTGTCAGAGGGCTTCCTATCATCCTGGGGACAACCCCACAGACTTCTTCAAAGGAGGCTTTGTAAGTAAGCTCTTGCTTTCTTATCATTTTTAATGAAAGTTTTTTTTCAACTGAGAAATAGAATGTAATGAGTGGGCTCTTCTGTTTTTCTTTATTTAGGAATCTGACGATGAGGATTCTTTTTGTGACCCAGACATTGGGATACTTCTTATTGAGCGTGAAGGTGCTGTGCTCACATCCTCCCAGCATCTCAGTCCAGCCTCGTTGGAAATCATCATTGAGGGAGAAGTCGTGATGGACAACATTCAAGATCTGCCAAAAGCAATGTGCATTCTGTTTGGACTCATGTATGCACTCCATCTTAACTACCCCAAGACTATGAAGCTCACATTTCAGTTCATCCAACAGGTATTGCTCTTGTTAGGCCACACTGACCTAAAGCCAAAGCTACAGACTTTGAAAAATCAGCTCGCAATGTAAAGAGATGTCAAGTCTACTTTTAAGAAACTGTTGACTATTTTTTTTTTCTTACCTGTGGGGTAAACCCTTTTATTTTCTGTAAAACAGGTGGACAAACAGACGCATAAAACGCACACACACACACACACAGACACATACAACACCCACAAACAAAACTGACACACCTATACACATATTTTGTGGGAAGCGTGCTAAAGGATGTGACTTGTAGCGGAGTTGTAGCGGAAAGACATAGGAGATTGTTATATTATATACATGTTTCAGTTCTTCATCAGTCTATGTAGATGGAATTAGATATTGTTCTGATATGATAGTCTGTTGGTTCATGCTCTGGCCTCCCTTCATTGAGGCAGATGAAACGGATCCTTTTTGTGATTAGCTGTGTTTGCCCATTTTTCTTAAAAGTAAAATGCATTGGAGCATTTACAGGTGTTTCTGTTTTTTTTATCCAATTTAATTGAAACAATGTTTAATAACGTATTTAAATACCAATCAAAAGCAAATTAAATTAGAGGAAAATACAATAATTGTGTTAAATGATGAGTAGCAATAACAAGTCATAATAGCTAGTTTTATCTAATGATTTTGAGTACACACTACTAATAAATATAAATACTAAACTTAAGGTTCCACGTTAATACAACGCAACATGTTTAGTTTCAGCTTGTATAAAAACTTAAGGTTCCACGTTAATACAACACAACATTTCTAGTTTCAGGTTGTGTAAAAACGTAAGGTTCCACGTTAATACAACGCAACATGTTTAGTTTCAGGTTGTGTAAAAACTTAAGGTTCCACGTTAGTACAACGCAATATGTTTAGTTTCAGCTTGTATAAAAACTTAAGGTTCCACGTTAATACAACGCAACATTTCTAGTTTCAGCTTGTGTAAAAACTAAAGTGGGATAGGGCAACGGGTTTCCACGCGATTCGCGAGTAAAGTCAACTAATTCGGGTTTACAGTGCAGGAACATCCAACTTAGGCACCCTGGGGTGGACAAAGAGGCCATCATGGAACACTTCTGGATTGGAAACACCTTGGTAAGAGTCAGAAACATATGGAATGGCCTCTGAGCCTACTGCCCGCCCAGACCAAGATAAGCGGAATGAAAGGGGTCGATGGATTGATGTTTGAACCTAGTTTTATTCATCCAACACAAGAGGATGGATAAAAAAAGTATATGTTTTTATCATTATTGAAATTAACTGAAAAAAATAAGCAATAGTATCTTTCCTCTCCTGTGTGGTACTTAAAGATATACAGCACCAGCTACTTTTCAACTTTATTCTGATTATTATTATAATTAATTATTAATAATAAGACGAGTTAAAAAGTGTGCTTAACTGCCAATTGCTAATATTGTTTTTTTAACTCAAACTTTTTATTTCAATAGATAAATTGTAACATCTTTTTGGAGATGGACTTATTTTAGTGATCATAAATGGTGCCATCTCCTTGTGCGACTCATATTAGCTTCAGAATTTGTCATAGTACTTTCACCGCAGTTTTGAGCCACTAATCGTCTCGATACAGAGATGACTCCACACTTTGGGCATCAGACTGCTGCTGCACTTTCTGGGTCTTTCTAGGCCTTCTTGTGAACTGCCCATGAAGGCCTAGCGGATTGCTGTTCAGCTGGCGGTTATGTAAGTATCGGTAAATCTGGTACCTTGAGGTTTTTCACAGCCACAGCAGGATCTGTGAGGAAGCTCTGACGAACACTGATTTCAATCCCTGCCTCCTTCACTCTCACCTCCAGATCATCCACAGTCTGCCAAACACAGAGAGACATACAAACAATCATGATGATGCAGAAGATGGCAGAGAGAGAAACACAGCAACATTGCACTTAAACAAAATAGTTAAAAGAGATAAAGGATTGGTAGGTTGTAGAAAGGAAATGTGAAGAAAAGCAATTGAAGAAGGAGCCGAGTGTTGAGGGGGAGGATGAGTTCTCGCTTAGAAAGACTATGGCGGTTAGGAAATGAGAAGAATGAATGAAGCCCTTTAAAACACATAAAGTTGAAACACATAAAGCCCTTTGAGGGAAATTTTGTGGTATATTGAGCTATACAAAACAAATGCAATTAAATTGAAGACAATTTACTCAAACTTTGCCCTACTATCTCTGGACGCATCTTCCTCTCCAGAAATGAAAGGCTTGTCAGGCCTACTGTGCCTAGTTGATGTTACTAAGCAATGAATGGATTCACTGTTAAGGCGAAATGTTTACAGATTCTGCTGCTCTTCCTGCCCTGGGAAAGAACCTTCAGATTGGTGTGTCTCGCTATTTAAAACTTTTGTATAACTTTGCGGCTCATAACTAATTTAGATAAATATACAACTCACTGATGTAAAAACTTCAGTTGTTTGCTGAATTGTGGCAATCTTGGTCCATTTCCACTTCTGAAAGAGCTGAACTCGAGTTGGGTTGTGCAGTGTGGCAGACGGATGAGTGCGAAAGAAGGTGGGAAAGCGCTGGCGGTTAGATAGAGCTGGGGAGCTGGAGCCGTACGACAACTGAGACACAGGGAGAAAGAAAGAATCATGTTAAAGCGAGTGACATCCCGATGACTTCATCTGCAGCAATATGATGAGTCAAAGAAATAAAAAATATTAATAATATAATAACTATTATTTTAGTAATTTTGCTACTAACCCAATTTAAGTTATTTTATCCAAATCAAAACATTTCGTGTTAGGGTTAACTTTACCTAAGTAAAGCTTTACCTAAGTACCTAAGCTTTACCTAAATCCTTTAAAGCTTTACCTAAGCTTTACCTAAGTAAAGCTAACCCTAACATTGACTGTACAGTAAATTCCGAACTATAAGCCACTACTTTTTCCCACGCTTTGAACCCTGCGGTTTATACAATGGTGCGGCTAATGTAGCATTTTTTACGGGCTAACGCGCAAGAGCGAGTCAGACAGGTGCAAGTTACGGGCAACATATCTGGCTGTCGGAGAAGGAAACAGCGGCTGCACGCAGTGGTGTAGTCTATATTTTTGTAGTGAGTATACTGTGACTATCGGCTGACGGGGGGACGCAGACGATACGGTCGACGGGGGGAGGGTGGCGCGGACGATACGGTCAACAGGCCTCATAGTCGAGTGCATCTCGACTTTAGTGACTGATTTTAGTGTTTTAAGTTAGCTTTATTACAGCTCTCCTCCTATCTCCGCCGTAACAACCTCCTTGACCCCCACCAGTCAGGCTTCAAGGTAGGCCATTCCACAGAGACTGCTCTCCTTGCTGTCTCAGAGAAATTCCACACTGCTGGAGTCGCCTCTCTCTCCTCTGTCCTCGTCCTTCTGGACCTCTCTGCTGCATTTGACACAGTTAACCACCAGATCCTTATTTCCTCCCTTAAGGAACTTGGTGTCACAGGCTCTGCTCTCTCCCTTCTCTTGTCCTACCTCGACGGCCGCACCTCCCGGGTAACCTGGCAAGGATCTGTGTCGGAACCTTGTCCTCCTACTACTGGAGTTCCTCAGTGTTCCGTCCTGGGTCCCTCCTCTTCTCGCTCTACACCAACTCTCTCGGCGCTGTTATTCGCTCACATGGCTTCTCCGACAATCGCTATGCTGATGACACCCAACTAATTCTCTCCATACATCACTCGAAGCCAGGCAGAGCTGAATAAATTGATTGCTAGCTATGTTGTCGATGACATGCATCCTCTGTCAACTGTCGAGTCAGTTGCCTTCAGGCAACTAATAAGCAAAATTCCGGTGATAAATGGAGGCTCGGGGCAAATGTGCAGGAAGACGTTTTCCAGCTATTTAGACAGAGAATATGCGAAAATGCAGGTCGAGCTAAAAAAAACATTTGAGGGTTTACAACATGTCTCTACCACAGCAGAGATCTGGACTGCTTACAATAAAAGCTTTCTAGGTGTAACTGCACACTGGATTAATCCGTTCCAGGGCGCCCTGCCCTTCACAAAGAAAAGAGAACTCACCCCGGGGCTCCCGCCAGCTTCACCGGAATCGTTTGCGTCGCAGCACTGGGAGCCTCGCGGTGCCTGTCTCCGCCACTCCAAGTCCGGGAATCTGAACCCAGCTTCCTTTTCGATTTTTGTTCGCCCATCTCTTAGGACCGACTGACCCATGTTCAACTGCTGTTCACCATGAACCCTTCTCCACTTCGGCCTTCAAAGCTGTCGTTTGAATATTTGCTACTACCAAAGATGTTTGTTGAGAATCTCATCTCTTATCTATATTTAGCTTTGCCTTATGAGGCCTGTTTGTTAAAACATTTTGTTAACCTTTTGTTAAATCACATACTCAATTATATGCAGCACCTCAAGGCACCTTTGTTTTCTCTTTTAATTAGTGTTAATATTGTAGGCCAATCACTTTTATTTCATTGGGCAATGTGGTAAAAAAAAACACTGTTAAATGACAGACAGTTATTTTGGATTAAGATAAGTATTGTACTACTGCTTGATTTGAAAGCCTTTTTTGAAAGATTGTAGTTATTGTTTAGCAGAGGTTGTTGATTTTAAATAGTATTGACATTATTTGTATTTTATATATATATATATATATATATATATATATATATATATATATATATTTTAAAGCATGATTTTCCGTGACTACTTTTTGCATGTGTATTGTGATAATAGATATGTGCTCAAATTCAAATCTTTGTTCGCTCTTGTTGTGGAATAGTACTTTGACAATTGACGTACTGAGTAAAAAACAATTATGGGACTTAATTTTTAGTTTTATTGTTTAGTGGTTATTGGTGCCTTATCTTGGGTTGGTGCCCTATTATCATTAGCGGATAATCAAACTTACACTAACAGGTTCACAAAGTATGTGAAAGAAGATTCACAGACAGAAAGGTAAAATTCCTTACCACTATGAGATTCCACATTCGAGAAGCTTCGGCCACTAGAGTGGACACTGAGCTGCAGCCTGGCATCAGCACAATTTTAATGGGCTCCGTGTACAGAAGGTCATAAAGCAGCTTGGTGGCTTCGCCTGGGTCACACTGTGGAACACATAAACACAGACAACACACTGTGTCCAACATCCTAGATCTTAAAAATGACAACACTTACATCCAAACGTTTAATGCTGATTTCAAGTAAGCATTCAGCACAATTTCCCCATCAAAATGACTGACTGACTGTATAAAATGGTTATATAAAGAGCCAAAGTTTTGCTGAATGGGCTGGTAGGGAATCTTACACTAAAAAAGGGCGGTAGACACTGTACTGTCCAAGCTAAGTGGGGCTCCCTCTAAACAGATTTACAATTTGAGCCATCTTTGCTACGTAACTGCTCTAGCGGAATTCATTTGATCAAAAAGCCCACTAACACTGGTAAGGAACTCACGGGAGAACTCACAATACACTACTACTTTAGTAGTAGTGCAATCAGGGAGTGAGCAAAGAAAGGGCCCGCACCAACAGCACACCAAGGGAGTTTGCATATGGACGCTATGAAAATGAAAGAATTTTCCTAACAACATATGTGAAAAAGTCTCATACAACTCTTGTATTGTCTTCTATCAGAGATTCACAGAGGGACTGGTGAGTAGAATCACGTGTTGACTTGCGCATCGTCAGTTGGCCAGCTATTTGGTTCCGTGATTATCCACGTATATATGCTTATGAATAAGACAGCTCTTGAATGTAGTGATGAGACTGGAGATAGCGATCTTTAGCGATGTTACACAAAAAACTACATGAAGTAGCAAATGTTTAATTTGGAGTTGAGTCTGCCTGTCTTTTCACAAATGTATGTTAAATTTGGGCTGTCAACATTACATGTTAATCTATTAATCTATCAATTAATGTGGCTATCAATGCGATAAATAATAAAACGCACTTAACGCAACTTTGTTTACTTCCGGTCTTCCGGTGTGGCCGAAGTAAACAAAGTTGACCCTGGAAACAAAACCACCGGGAGATAAAACTCCTAATCGAGTTAATCATTTGTTCTGCTTTGCTACAAAAGTTGACTTTGTGTAGTATTATAACGACGACAACGACCAGGTTTATGATGATGACTTAACATGACATCATCATTAATTGATTAATGGCCACCACACCATCACCTTTATCAGGAAACAGAAAAGATTTCTGTGTATTTATTGTCGTCTCTTTTGTCTGATGGTTGTTGGTTTGTCTTCATTTCTGTTTGGAGTTCTGCACTATTTTGCCTGAGTCAAAGTCAGAATCAGAGTAATTCATCATTTATCAATCATTTATTGCCAAGTACGTTCCAAATACATGGATTTGGAAGAACAATAAACATAAATAGACAAACATAACACACAAGCACATAAGTGAAAAAAAATCTATACATATAAAATAAAATAAGTCCAATGTATTAGACACTAAATATGGAATATATGTGAAAGAGAATGTGCAAAAATGTTCCATTGTTGATGAGACCGAGTCATTGGGGGTCCTGAGCCCCAGGCTTTATAGATGAGCCTAACTACTGAAAGGAACAAGCTGCTTTTATTGCAGGAGGCCCTTCCTGATGGACCGCAGCCTCCTACTAGACGGAAGGGGCTCAAACAATTTGTGTCTCCGCTGTCTCTTGAGCATTGAGCTCTAAGTTGTAGCTCCTGCCCATCGCCATATTTAGCGACATGGGAAACACACCCATCCTCTATGCCAGGGGTCTCAAACTCAAATCAGGTGCAGGCCAGATGCGCCTTCTCAGAGCATGGAAGGAGCTTCACCTCAGCCCCCATCCTGATTCAGCCTGGTCCCTCTTGTCAGTTCATCATGGAAGTTGATGCCTCACAGGCACAAGCACAGACATTTTGGGGGGCAGGTGCTCAAACCAAAACAAAAGGGCACCCATCGCCAAAATGATTCAGGAAAATAAAAATATTAATCATAAAATAAAACGTCCTGGTGGATTACGCAACACAATATCCCGAGACAGTGCCATTGCGCAACATCTCCGCAAAGAGTGTTACGCAGGCTCTGTTTCAGGTCATCTCCGGAGTCGGAATCCTGAAAGAAATTCTGACTGACCAGGGCACCTCATTCATGTCACGCACACTGCGGGAACTTTACGAATTAATGAGGGTCTTTTCGGACCAGTGTTTACCACCCCCAGACTGACGCGCTGGTGGAAAAAAAACTTAAAATACATGATTCGTAAATTCATTCACGGCGATGAACGTAATTGGGATAAATGGCTGGATCCTCTGTTGTTTGCAGTACGGGAGGTTCCCCAGGCCTCCACGGGATTTTCTCCCTTCGAGCTGCTGTTTGTTAGGAAACCACGTGGGGTGCTCGACCTGCATAAAGGAACACTAGGAGGAGGGTCCGATCCCCGGTAAGAACGAGGTTCCGTACATCCTGGACCTGCGAGCCAAACTCCACACACTGGGTGAGTTGTCATGTGAGAATTTGCTCCAGGCCCAGGAGCGGCCTAGGGGCCAAGCTGAGACAATTTACACCTAGAGAAAAAGTACTTGTAGTGCTTCCGTCTTCCAGCTAAAAACTCACACGGCGAGTAGGGGACGTCAACTACGAGGTGGTGCGATATGACAGGGGCGGAGCTTCAGGTGCCTCAGATCCAGTCCAGTGGACCAAGCCGTGCCAGTGGATGGTTGAGGGGGTGAAACAAGCTCTCTGTGGGGAACTGCTTCTCCATACACCTGGCTTTTCTCTCTCTTTTACCCTGACTATTGCGTCAAACGGAGGGCCGTTTTGTCCCAGAAGGTGCAGGGGGTGGACCACCCAGTCCTCTACATCAGCTGGAAGCTATCTGAGAGAGAGGGCAGGTACAGTATGGTGGAAAAGGAGTGCCTGGCCATCCGGTAGGCGGTCGACTCCCTGCGGTACTACCTCCTGGGACGCCAATTCACCCTCTGTTCGGATGACGCTCCGCTGCAGTGCCTCCACCGCATGCAGGATCCAAACTTCCGGATCACTCGATGGTATCTAGCTCTACAGCCTTTTAACTTCAAGATGGTCCATAGGCCGGGGGCGCAGATGGTTGTGGCCGACTTCCTCTCCCGCCCTCAGGAGGGAGGGGGGAGTCGGTTCGGCCGGACGGCTCCCCATCCTAAGTCGGGCGGTGGGGGTATGTGCCAGTGTGTCATGTCCTTTGCCGTGTACACCCGCCTCATGAACCAAATCAAGCCCAGGTCACAGTTCTGGTTTGTACGTAGCCTTTGTGGTCTCCTTAGTTGGCCTCGTGATGTTTATAGCTCCTCAATCTAGTTTAGAGCCTGTTGATTAAGTGTTTTTGTTAATTCCTCTGTAAGAGCGATTTTAGTTTTTTCCTTTAACTTATCAGCTCTTAGTTTCGCCGGAGCATTTCCCCGCCATTTCCCTTCGGAGAAGTTTTTTGTTTCCAGGGACCTCCCTGTGTTTTTCTTTATTGGACAATAAAAAACGTCAGCTAAATACCCTCTGCGTCCGAGTCCTCCTCAGGAGCTCCCCCCTCCCGTGACAGGCTGCGACTTGTCTGTCCCATTCCGTCGGCTCCTCCGAACGAGTCGAGGAACAAAATGGCCCAAGTTTGAAAAAGGGAGGATAATGCTGCTACATTTACTGGATTTATTCAGTATGTAAACTTGGACCCGAGCTATTTCCTTGCAACCAGTTCAAACAGGAGAGACTCGGTACGAATTGACAAACATTCATTACACCTGTATAATATTGACATGGTGCACAATCTTTGGCAATTGGACACAATCTTTGGCAATTGGACTCCATTCTAAACCAGGATAATCAAGGGGCCGTGATGCCGAGTTCTGCCCGCCCCTGGAGTCCAGACACTGGTGGTGGTGGTGGTTAAGAAGGGAGTTGATGAAAACCAAGGATGAGTGAAGAATATCTGACAGCTGGCTGGAGGTGCCTGGGATTGAGGAGGGTCGCATCCAGTTTTGCGCTGAAATTACCCCTGACAGCAACAACGGAGAGAACCCCTTTAAAGGTTTGCGCAGCATTGGTTTAGAGACACAGCGCCGCCTCTGTTGGTTGTATACACCTGGGCGCAGCAAATCTCCGCTGATAGCATAATGCTTGGAAATCAGCTGAGGCATACCTAAATTATGCGTGTCATGAAGGACTTCCTTCCTGAACTGCCGCTTAAGCTCCATTTCTCAAAGTGGTCGACATCGTCAAAGGAGGCCGCTGAGGCACGTGCTGTGTTAACTCTTCTCCCCTAATGACAGTGAATCAATAGACCCAGCTAGCAGCTTGGGGAAATCTGCTCACTTGAGTCTTGAATTAAAGACAGGTTGTTTTGTAAAAAAGGCCCAATGTAATCCAAGGCTGCATTCTTTACAGTTGACTTGTTGATTAACCCTGGCACTTAGGGGAAATCAGCAACACATTCAAATGAGATATTGTAATCTGCCCTCCACTCTGAACCTTTGGGACCTGCTTTCTGCTTCACATCATCATTTCCCCAGATCTCAGAGGAAAGCTTGAAAAATGCTGCGCTCACCAACTGTTGGGAACGTCAGAGCTGCCAACTTTTCAAAAAACCTTGGAGTGAGATTTTGTCGGGGTGACCAAGATTTTGTCACGCACGCAGCCACACACGTTGGTGTGAATTCATTTGGCGTAGTACCCGTGTTGTACCCTGCATTCTGGTGGTTTGTGGGGCCCAACGTCGTTGAGAGGGGCGGCCTGCTGGAGATGGACAACATTGGTTACATTCTGAGAAGCAGAGACGTAGCTGATGGTCCACCCCAAGGACATTCTGGTTTAAGTAGATGTTATTTCATGCATTCTAGTGGATTTTTGGGTCGTATGCCTGAACTTATTCTGATTCATGTTCATCTGCTCATGACTTGTGGGGCCTTCTAGACTTGAGCTGAACATTCAACCAGAAAACTATTGCTGTGCCTCAATGACTGTCTATGTACCACAATATAGCCTAATTAATAGACCTGTGTTTAAGATTTGACCAATTTAGGTTGTTTTGATTACAATGGTATTCAACTAACTCTTAACTGAAACCTCACATATATTGTTAATAATTGTATTCTTAAGAGCACTT